CGATGGGGTGCGAGGCATGGGTTGCCGAATGAGGATTGTGTTTCTAATGTTTGTTAATTACGGTGGCGGCAAGGATACTGTCATGAATGAAAGGTTGAGGATGAATGGGTGATGTGACACATGTATTCAGATACTTCTATAGGTGATTGATTCTAGCAATGTTTTGAGGATAGGTGTTAGTATTAATGAATGTTATCCATTTAAAGAATGATTATGGAATTCCATTGAGGATAATAGGAATGATTGATCTTGGGTTTTAGATATTAGGTATGAGATAGTTGTATTGTATGTTTTAACGAGGTTAGAATTGGATCGGATGATGTTATGGAATTGTTTACCTGGTATGGGTATTATGAGAAAATTAGAAAGCTTTGGTGTTGGTCGATGATTGAAACATTTAATGCTGTGTTGTTTTTGTTTGTTATGGTTATGTAATTGAGATTTGATTGGGATTCTGAGAATAGGTATATAACTGTATAGTTATTGAGGTTATGTAGAGTGATAGATTGATGGTGAGTGGATCCCATTGTCGTTTGGCAGACTGTGTGAGATTGTATTTGAGGTCTGGACTTGAGAACAAGAACGACGTCTGTGCTGAGATCAGATTGAGGATGAGGATGGCCTGGCCAGCCATTTTTCTTGAATCAATCTCTCTTCAGCACGATGTTGGGTCAAAGGTCAATAATTGTTTCAAGTTATCATAAATAGTAAGAGTACGGTATTACAGGTTGAGTTGGTGTGATAGTGTGGATTCAAGTGCTTATCTCGGGAGATGAGGTGTGTCAGATGGCACCAAGTGTTCGATAAAAGGTTTGTGATACAATCATTGATTATTGAAGATCTTGTTTTGAAAATTTGTGTCCTGGGCACTGGATAATACGTTTATTATTTTGGTGACTTATGATTATGTAGTCGTAAGGAGATTCATTGTTTAATTATCTTGAGGTTGTTGAATGTAATGATTGGCGAATGGTGCAGTTGGTGGTTGCTTGTACTGTTAGGTGATGATGTAGTTAAGTATTTGATAGCAAGTATTTGATTTGTCAGGGATGTGTAGATTAGAGTTGAAATTGATTGAGAGATGGATTGGATTCCTTGTTTATGGTTTTGTGTGTGTGTTCTTTAGAGGATGAGTTGTGATTTAGTCTTAATTGGTGATTTGGTGACCGTTTTTCTTTTGGGCTGGGAGCCTTTTGTGGCAGTGTTGAGTGGATCCATGTCCATTATGAGTCAGGCGTATGGTCTGGTCGGTCTTATGTTATGACGAGGTGAGAAATGAGTACCGTTTTGGGTTTTGGTGACAGTGGTGTGTACTTGTCTGACGACGTCCGGTGTCAAAGGCAACAATGTCGTTGGGTTCATAGTCTCAAAGTTTGTAAGGTGTTCTTGGAGAGTGCGTGGCTATTGGCCTTCTTCATAAGGAGGGTAGATTTTGAGGACGAAATCTCTTTAAGGAGGGTAGATTGTGATGTTTATGATTTTCAGCATTTTTCAATTTTCCAAAAATTTCATCGCTCTGAGGGCATTTTTGTCTTTTCATGTTTTTCGTACGGGATTTTAGTTGAGTCCATTTGCGTTTCCTACATTTTGAATTATGTGAGCTATGTATCATTTGTATGATGGTGTGGTACATGTATTTATGTGGTGTAGAATTAAAACAAAAGAAAAATGAGAAAAGAAAAGAAAAGTGGCGGGACCCGCCACTTACTCTCATGAAATGGTTTAGAGACCATTTTTGGCCTCAAATCTCACTCACTCCCGTAACTCTTTCTTCTTTCCTCTTCTTCTTGATTTTTTTTTGTTTTTGTTTTGAGTTCCAAACTTCAAATCAAAATTCCTCTCTCAAAACCTGGAATTTTTTAGTGCCGTTTGTGGCAAAAAGGAGACCACGGCTAGCTCTACGCGTGTGTACCAGTAATTTCAGTTTTTGTGCAACCTAGGGAGTCCGAAAATCTTGACCCATTTTGTGGATTTTTGCATTCTAAGAGGTAGGGGTTCCTAATCCATGTAATTTCTTGTTCCTTTGTGAATTTCCTTTGTTAATTGTTGCCTAATATGCTTATTTGCGTTGATTACCTCTAAAATGATTTATTTGACATGTTGAAGTTCATGAACATGTGTACAAGTTGGGTTTTATGAGATGCATGCTTAAATGTATATTTCCTATAGTTATTGTGTTGTCAATTTGCTACAATTGCTATATGAAAGCATGTTGTAATTTCCTTGAAATTTCTAGTAAAGTATGTTATATAGTTTAAGTTGAATAAATTGTGGAATGGTGATTATTGATATAGCATGATGCATTTTGTATAAATATTGGGAATGAAATAAAGGGGAAAATTGATTTGAAATGAAATAGGGGAATTTTGGGAAAGAAACTTTTATTAAAGTATTTTATGAAAACCCAGTTGCCGCGGAGTCACCAAAGGGCTGGTAGGTTAATGTAACCTAGAGGGAACTAAGGAGATTGCTCTAGCGTGGTCGAGCTATCTGGGCCCCAAATGACGCTACGGAGGTACCAACGGTTAGGGACAGTAGCCAACCATTCTCTCGGCGCTAAGGGGGTACCAAAGAGGGTTACATTAACAGTTTGAAAGTGATGATTTTAAATGTGAAAAATGGGGAGCGACATCGGCATGCATTGCATCCCCATTGCATCATATTATTTATGTTGAGATTGGAAACCATGTTGTAATTTCCCGACATTGTATTACCCCGATTTCCATGGTTCTATTCTTTGTTGTGGGTTCACGGGGACATAAGAGGCGTGTCTTAAGTGCCACCTACTGAGCTTTTGCTCACCCCACTACACTTTACATTTTTTAAGACATGGTAATGAGTCGGCGGATGATAATCCACCTCATGCTTGCGAGCACTTAGGGAGCATTTTGGATGCAATTTTGTAGAGCTTGAACTTATTTTGTAAATATGTTGACTTAAAAGATGTACTACTTTAATATTTGTATTTATCATGTACATGGCTAGTGGAGTAATGTAATTAAGTTTTACTAACATTTAATCCCTTAGTGTATTTTGGTAACGTGTGGTAACTTATGTTAACGTTGTATTTACATATGTACGTGAGTGTAGTAGTATGGGTGATTGGCTTTCAAAGTTGGTGTATCTCGGTGACAGTGAGTGAGGATGACCCAAACCAGTCGACGTAAGATTCCATAGGTCGACCGAGTCGCGTGAACCAGTCGATGTGTAGCTGCCCACACGTGGACCGCTATCCTGACAGTAAGCTATTCACTGTGCACGTTCCAAACTAGTCGACGTGTAGCTTTCGACCGGTATCTCGGCAGTGGGGTTTTCACTGTTCATAACCCAAACCAGCTGACGTATAATGTATATACGTCGACCGGTTCCTGTTCTACATATAAATTTTTTTATTATTTAGCTTTCCTAACTACTCTCTAGCACCAAATTAATGTTGCGAATAATTATTTTATGACTCAATAAAATGCATTAATTATATTTTAACCACTAAAAAGACTATATTTTCCCGGACCTTATTTAATTTATTACGTGATACAAGTAAATGACTATTATACCCTTTGAATCTCAAACTACTTGAATTGTAGCAAATTACCATCTTGCCCTTTTCGGATCATTATAATTGAATTTAACGTGAAAGGACCGTATTACTCTTGGACGATTTCGGGGTCGGGCAAGGACCCATTTAATGATCCGGATCCATGAGGATTTGGGTCGTTAAAGCCATCAAATTTGCAGCTAAAGCACTCAACAAATAGAATATTGATTCTTTAATTCCCTAATACCTGAAAATTTAATATTGCCTTTACCCCTTTCTTTAGATGTACTGTCATCACCAAAAGTAACAAACCCACCTAAATATATACAATGTATGTTTGTGCACAATACAACATTTAACACTATCTTTCTTTATTTATATTGTTAGAATATATTCTATAATATATTGTTATCATCTATTGTTAGAATATATTTTATAATATATCATTAACAAATGAACATTATCTTATATGGTAACTGTCTTAACCTACCCTCGTTATTATATATAGCATTACGATAATAAAGTACTCTCCACAGACCTCTCCTATATAAATCTCCATACAGATTTCTATGCTCCCGCTTATTTCTAACACATATCATGAAAAAGGAACAAGGCCAAGACAACAAACGTGAAGAAGATTCGAGACTACTCTCCACAAGTAATCAACAATCAATTAACCAAAGTTGTTGGTGAACATCCATTATTTTATTCTAGTTTTCATTGGAGTGTATGAATCAATTAAATGGGTTTGATTTGTGTGATGGGAACACGCTGCCAACTTTTTTGCCATTGAGAGATTGTATCAGCGAATTGTGCCGTAGTAAATTCTCTCTTAAGGAAATAAATTTATAAAAAAAAGGGTGGCTGACTACTCATTTGCCACATCTTTCGAGAAAAAAAATACAAAATAGCACATATGTTTAGTATTTTTTTTAATTTTAAAATGACAATACAATAATTATATAAAAATATTAAATTCTCAATTTAATAATACTGCAACGTTAAATATTTTCAATATAATTGTATTACATGAGTATATGTATATACCTGTATTACATGAGTATATGTCAGGTAGAGTATTGCATTGTGATATAGTTTATTGTTATATTAATTTAATAGGGAGCTGTGGGTTAGAGGGGAATAGAGGGCAATTTGTGAAATGTGTGAGTCACTCGTAAGAAACAAGATATATATATTATATATATACACACATTTACAATAACTAAGTATTCCGTATTTACCAAGGCATATGCATGATAACCAGCAAGCTGACACTAATACCTGCCAAATACTAGACAAAATTCTAATTTATTATGCAACAGTTAATTCCAAAGCAAAGTTGGCAATGGTCATATATGGCATCTACTGTTTTACTATCTTATTTTTATGATAATAATAAAAAATTTTTGTTCTGATTCAGAATTTTTACTTCAAATAACCTCTCTCCTCTCCAACTACATATATGTCATGCAATATGAGATAGAGTTTCAGATATAGAATCATCAGTGAATGATGGATCAAAGGACAACTCATCATCATCCTCCGAGGACTCAATCACCTTTATATTCTCAAACTCTTTCACCACCTCACTCATATCTGGCCGCTTTTCCGGCAACTTTTCGCAGCACTGCATGGCAACTTGTAGCAGTCTCAGCATCCCATTATTGGCACTTCCATGCACAGTGATTTCCACGTCGAAAATCTCAGCCGTCCATTCCTCTCTGACTGCCCGGACAACCCATTTGATAAGATCCACACAGTTCGCTCCTTCTGAGGCCGAGTGAGCTGATACTCTCCCTGTCAAGAGTTCAAGGAGGAGGCAGCCATAGCTCCACACATCTGACTTCTTGGAAACTCTCTTATAGCTTTGATATTCGGGTGATTTGTATGAAACCATGCGTTGGGCCGCGATAGGAGAGACTAAGAGGGAAGTGAGGCCATAGCCGGTGACAAGTACCGTTTGGTTGTTGTCAAGTAGGACATTGGAGGATTTCAAGTTGCCATGAGGGACTGTGGCTTGTGATGATTTGGAGGTACTATTAAGGTGTAGGTGCTCCAAAGCTCGAGCTACACCGCGAGCGACGGATAATCTTGAGCTCCATCGGAATGGGATCCGGTCCTTGGTCTCTCTTCCTCCTGTTTATTCCATTCATATTAAGGTTCATGAGCGATATGAAATGTTTGGTTGGCAAGAAAATGGTGGAAAAGAATTTTCTAACATTGTCCATAAACATATGTAACAATATCAAGCTAGGAAGTACTGAATATGCATAGAAAGAAATGCACAAATCAGCAGTGTTAGGTTGGGGAGAATATGGAAGGGCTTGATTGGTTCGATTTATTTAAAAACATTTCTGAACTATAAATGACAAATTTATGAAAACAACTAACTTTTTAACTGAGTTTTCAGAAATCTGCAACCAAACATGTACAGTTTTCTAATTTTTCAATCATTAGAATATTGTTTTAGAAAACTGAATTAAATAGGCTCGAAAATTCTAAGATTTTTTTAACATTACCCATTACCATATATAACAATGTCTAGCTAGCTAGAATCTAAGAGAGAAAAAGCACAATTTATCAGTAATGTTAAGTTGCCTAGAATATGGTGGAAAAGGAAATTATAATATTGTTTTAAAATAAATTTTCAAAAAGAAAAAACACTTTCAACACTGCCCATAACCATTTACAACAATATCTAGCTAGCTAGAAAAAAAAAAAAGCACAATTCATCAGTAGTGTTAGGTTGGCAAGAATAACAATCCTAGAACAATCATGTACTTTCTTGGGAGAGAAATGGAGGAAAATGGAAACAAAATGAACGGAGAAGTGGACTTACCATGAATGCGATTGTGTAAGTTTCCATTTGATGCAAATTTGTATAACAACAACTTCTCATCTTTGGAAAAGAAGTAAGCAAGAAGAGGTAACAAATTTGGGTGCTTTTGACTAGCAATCACTTGCAATTGTTTTGCGAATTCGTTACTGTTCAAGGGTGTTAAGTCCTTTAGCCTCTGCACAACAATGGCTCGTCCATCACCAAGAATGGCCTTGTAACAACTCCCAAAATTCCCTCTACCCAATCCCTCAGCTGAAGCTTTTAGCAGATCGCCGAGTTCAAAACCGGCTTCATTGTCCAAGAAAATGAGCTTTCCATTCTCTTCTCCCTCAACCACTCCCTTTTCTTTTGCCTCTATCTTTTTCTCATCCTTCTCCACATCTTCATCTACAATGCTCTTTTCATCCATCACATTCCTCTCTACTTCCCCATCTACAATGCTATTTTTCTTCTTCATTTCCTTAAGCTTCCTAGACTTTTTGCAGTAAAAAATGAGGAGCAACAAAATGACTACTAGGCCAACAACATCAACAACAATCAAAAGTCTCGCCAAATGTGAAGAACCACCTTTTTTAGAAGTCGACGTATCATTGTTGCTGCAGGGAGTGGAAGAGGTTGGACCACACAAATCTTGGTTACCAGAAAATGATGAATTGTCGAATGATTGAAGAACTTTAGTGTCTGGTATTGGTCCAGAGAGATGGTTGTTTGATACATTGAACTGTCTCAAGCTAGACTGATTGAACCCCGGGATTGAACCAGTTAAGTTGTTGTCTTGGAGCTGCAATGACTCCAAGAAATCAAGTCTCACAAGTGAATCCGAAATTGGCCCATCAAATTTGTTGCTTGACAAGTCAATTTGCCTCAACTTCTGAGTGTTTGAGAAGTCCATCATGTTCCCTGATATTGAGTTGTTCTTGAAGCTAAGTATGGACAGCTGAGTGAGGTTGACAAGTGCATCAACCTTGATTTTTCCGGTTAGCCCCAAACTCTCCAAAACTATTCCGGTGACTCGACCATTCAAGCATTGTATGCCATACCAGACTGGTGTGTTGTTCATATAGCACATGAGGCGAATCCAGTTGTGGTTGAGGAAAGGGTGGTTAAGTTCGGCTTTGAGAGCGTACAGAGCATCCCTCTCGAACCCATTGAAGCCGCTTGGAGGTTCCTGCGCTATGGCTAGTTTGAACAACCAAAGAAAAGCAAAAACAAGAAGAAACTTGAAGAATTGAAGATTACCCATTGTGTACAGTTCAATGTGGAATGTGGTTCATGATCTGAGAAGATTGACATACAAATAGAAATGGGTTTGTTACTTAGGTGGTTCGAATACAAAATATTCTAATAGTATATCATCACATCTATCTATGTTCAATGCATTGTTGAAGAGAAAAACAAGGAGATAGTTCAACTTTTTGTGTTGAAGTTATGGTCAGCTGAGAATTCAAGGAAGCATTCATATTTCATATGGATATTCCAGCTCGAATAAACCTGTAGAAAAACCCCATTGCATATAGTTAAAGTTGTGAAACATTGGGCATCTTTCATTGTTGTAAAATTTTGAAAAATGAAGGGTATGCTTGGTTTAGTTTTTTAAAAAACGTTCTGAAAATAGAAAATTATTTTTAGAAAAATGTAAAATATAATTTTTAACTGAAACTGACAACTTAAAATATTTTGATGTTCATTTCTCTTGAAACAAAAAATTAAAAGATAAAAAATTATTCTTAAAAACTGAACCAAATAGATCCAAAGTTGTCTTTGAGGAGTTTCGACTGCCGATGTTGTAACGTATGTCTTAGGATTGGCTTTTTGTTGAATGTTAAAGGTTAATAAATTAAGGTTAGAAAGTGATTGATTGGTGGGATAAAAATTATAATATGAAGAATACGGTTGTAACTATGAATGGAGTGTGCTTCTGTTAAGACTGTTTCTTTCAGTTTGAGAATGTAAGCTCTGGTAGGAATGTTCGTGTTCTTGTGATACTAAGAAATGGCAACAAATGATCATATGAAACTTACTATTGCTCAAAAGACATGTTAATAGAATGCTTCGATATACTTGCCCAAAATATAAAAAAAAAAAAAATAAAAAAATAATAGAATGCTTTGATATTCAACCATAAAGGGATTTAAAAATGCAATATATTCCAATCCAACATAACGGATTAAAATTAAAATGCTATATGTTTGTTCGATTTCATCATCATATAAGCAGTACGGTTTGAAGTACAATGGAAGGCAGCCTGGCTTTGACACAATGACACTTAACATGGTATCCAGTGAAACTAATATTCACAATACAATAATGTTGCCATGCTCAAGAATCTTTATATTATAAACTTGACATGAACAACTTGACAAATTTATATAATTTTGTACTAGGACAATTGCATGGTTACAGATTTTACTCGTCCAAAATATATTTGATTTGGCATTTGCCATTGCAAAACATAGGCCAATTGATTGATATTTGTGTTTATGAATGCGTTTTTTTGTGTGTCTTGATTGTAAAGAATTCTGAATGATCTCACCTAAGATCCATCCATCATAATTTCATAAGCATGACCCTTTTGATTCTATGGGTCTGTCTTTGTATTATTTGCAATGTATTTGGCATTTAAATGATAGGACAGCAAGTTGTTCAATGACCCATTCATTTGTTGTAGTGGCATCGGACACTTGGGATATTTTTTGGATACACGAATACAGTTTGGATACATATAGGATATAGCTGTAGGCAGTAGTGTTCAACTGCTCCCTGAGAGTAAGAAATTGTATACTCACTTTTAATTGTAACTTTATGATTATTAATTGTAGCCTTAGGATACATATAGGACATAGCTAGAAGTAGTAGTGTTAAAAAAAAAAAAAAAACACATTCCAAAGAAATCTTATATATTATTAATTATTGGGTTAATTACAATGACACCCCCTAAAGTTTAGCATATTGCCAGTCATATATAAGTTAGGCTTTTTTTGAACAACGACACCCCTGTCAGAAATTGAATCCAAACAGCCCCTTAAAAGATGTGAAAAGTCAAGATTGCCCTTCAATATTTTTTTAATTTAAATTGTTAAAAAAATCCTAAATAACATTTTTACCCTTGGCACTGTCCCTCTCTAACCTCTCACCTTCTCCATCAGAAACCTATCCCAACTCTCTCTCTCTTTATTTTCTCTCTAATAGTAATTGATATATAATATATATATATATATATATATATATATATATATATATATATGTATACGTATATTGTGAACATAGACAACCACAGCCGCCGGTCCTCGACCACCACCACAGCCGCCGGTCCTCCACCACCACCACAACAGAAAAAAACAGAGGCAAAGAATAACAACCATGGCCTCTCAAACCCTAATCCTAATAAAGCAACCACCAAACCCATGACCTCTCCCTCAAACCCAGCACGAAATCCCTAGACTTCTCTGCCCTAAATCCCTTACCGTCGTTGCCGCCATCACCACCAAGAAAGTCGTCGCCGCTGAACCCTCAGATCTGGCCGTGGCATCAACGTTGTTGCCAAAGACGGAGACGGGGCTTATCCCTGTGATGGCCATGTGCTTCTTCGAATCCTTCTCAAGCTTAGGGGCGAAGGATGTGGTGGAGTCGGCGTCGCAGCCGTGGCCACCGTTTCGATCTTAGAGGTATATATATATATATATATATATATATATATATGTATGTATGTTGAATATTTGGGTGTTTAAAAGTGATGGTATATATATATGTGTGTGTGTGTGTGTTGAAGATTTGGGTTTTCAACAACTGAAGTGGCGGTGATTTTGGGTGAGAGGGCTTCAAAGTGGTGGAGTCAGCGCTGGCGGCAATGGCCACCATTCATTATATGTATGTATGTTGAAGATTTGGGATATATGTGTGTGTTTATGTTGATGATTTGGGTTTTGATGAATTGAAGTAGTGATTTTGGGTGAGAGAGCCTTCACGATGGTGATGGAGTAGCCCATTGTATGACTTGTAATAGATGGTATTGGAATGAAGGATAAAAATAAGTTTGAAATTGGATTTTTTATTTTTTATTTATATAAATATTATACAAGGGTAGAAAGGTAATTTCATTATTAAAATTGGTCAATTTATAAGTCAAAGGGCAACAATGTCAATTCACTACATGTCAGCTGTTGCAAGTGACCATTGGGGTGTATTTGTTAACTTTTTTAAACTTGAGGGGGTGTCATTGTTCAAAAAAGACCTAACTTATACATGACTGTCAATACAATAAACCTTAAGGGGTCTCATTGTAATTAACCTTTAATTATTTAATGAGTCATCTACTCTATGCAGTACATAGATTTGTAATAAAAAAACCTAACACCATAAGCAATGGCGAAGCTAGAATGCTAAGATCTTCGATAAGATCGAATCATTTTTACCTACCTACCCAAAAAATAAAAATTCACCCACAATAATATGTCTTGATAATTGCTGTGAATTGACTAAGGTACACAACCTTCTCTCGTTACTCCTTTGCATAGGAGATCCCTCTTTTCTTAAGAGATTCTCTACTTGTCGGAGTAGGTTTTTAGGAATTCTGTAATGACCTGAACCTGGGGGTCCGAATCGTTTACCGGGTCCTTACCCGAACCCGAGGTCATCTAAGGCATTACCGTCATTTCCTATGTCAATGCATAAAATATATATGTCATCCCAAAACTCATAGTACATCATATCACTAACATCATAGAAAACTCACTTATGGAGATAGAATGGCAGCGGCGTCTAAGTCCATGGATATAAGTCATACATCCATACTCCTCCGATTTCCTGAAAATGTTAAGATAAGGGGTGAACTCAACAACTCAGTAGGTAATACCTAAAACACCGGTTTTGGACTCCCTTGAGCCAACAACCAAAGAACGGGAAAAAGATGTCGGGATCATACTTCAATTTAAAAAATTATCATTACATAATTAGTTATAATTATAGGTGTCAAAATGCCATGAAATGCAATACATTGCGTAACCGTCCCGAGCTTGGTCTCAAACCAACCCCAAAGCCCCACCTATGCCAACTGACTTTACCGAGCCGGGATTGACACTCTTAGTGCCAACTTTTTCACGCCCTATTTCGGACCGCGCTCACTCTAGGTCACGTTAGCCGCTAACTGACTTTACCGAGTCGGGATTGACACTCTTAGTGTCAAGTTTTCCATGCCCTATACCGGGCCTCGCCCACTCAAGGTCAAGTTAGCCCCGGGCAATGCCGGCTTGTTTCTAAATCATTTTCTCATAATTCCCTTTTAATCACATTTCTTTACAAGAATCATTATAACCTCACTTTTCCCAAACATACTCATGCCATGAATGGAATCATGCATGAATGAAATTGACAATACACATGTTTGCATTTTATCAACTTAATCATACATACATTGTGATAACTCAATTTTTTATATTTTAATTTATAATTTTATTTTTTTATTATTTTTTTTGAGTTTGATTTTTTGAGTTATTAGTATTTTGTTTCTTTTGGATTTGTTTTTAATAAATTAGTTTTATTTTTAGTAAGTGGGTTTTGATGTGGAATGTTGACATGTGATGGGTGATATATATTTTTATATAAATTGTATATGATCGATATAAGAAGTGGGCAGCAACGAAATGAGAAGAGAAATGGGTTTGGTATGGTTTTGTGTGTGTGTGTGTGTGTGTGTATATATATATATATTATTTTGCATTTGTGGAAGGGAGATGCACCCAGCCAGAATAAGAAAAGAAAAGGTTGGTAATGGTTGCTTTGGTGCCACGAGTTATTTTAGTGTTTGATTTTGGTCTTGTATGCAATTGTGTGTTTGTGTGTATATATATATATATATTGCATGCATTTGATGAAGTAAGGGGAATGGATTTTGATTTATATATATGATTTATATATATATATTTAGTGCATTAGAAGGCAGCCGCAGGTGGAGTGAAATGAGGAAAAATGAAAAGTAATGATTTATTTTTCGCGGGGCCCACTGTGATATTTGTTTAGGTAACTTTTTCTTAACTTTGTTTTCTCCACGTGCTGAATTAGTGAGTTGTGTTTAGTGATATGTATTGAAAGATAAAGGAAGTGGTAATGTGAACTGCGGGTCCCACGAAGAGATAAGAAAAATTGTTAACTTTTGTGTGCACGTGGCTTGTGTAGTTTTAATTGTCAAGGACATAAGAAATGATGGGGAAGGAAAAGGTGTCAGCTGAGATGGGAAAGGAAGAGTAG